CAATCACAGGAGTAAGATGCATATGCTACCATGGTGTTTGACCTGTCAAACACTGCACAAGATTTAATATTAAAGAGTCACACACAAAAAAGACTATTCCATTTCCCTTTTTTCCTGTTTTTAACCATTATCTGGCAAGAGTTTCATATGTTTGGTTTCTATAGTCTGAACTCTGAACACCTGTGCCATCATATGTATACCCAAAACCTATGGAAAAATTCGGTCTGTGTAAAAGAAAAATAAAATTCCACAAAAACAATCTCAATTCCAATGATCCATAGATATCCCATCAGCAGCATTTTGTTCTTAAAATTTCATAAGAAACCCAAGCTTTGCCATAATCCCAGCCATCTAATCTGAAAACTTGGCAGAGTAGTTTTGCAGCGTGAAGCCCAAAGAATTACCAAGCTTCTCCCCAGAGCAAGGAAGCACTCAGAGACATCCCAAACTGATGCTACTGCTTTTGTCCAAAGGAATGCTAGAGAAAGTCTCCAATTTGCAAACTTGAACCGTGATCCTTTAAATATTTATGCTCATGTTTACTTTGTCGAGAGGGGAGAAATCCCGTTCACTTGAGAGGAAGTGGAGCAAATGTCGGCACGCAGGACAAAGCCTGAGAAATTCAGATGCACTTTTAAACCTCAACACAAAAAAACCACCATGTTCCAAAGCTGAAACCTGCACCCAGCCCATCTCAGGGAGCCAGAGTCCAGGCCCAAGCTGGGAGCTTCATCAACCACACAACAAACATGCCTTCAACCCCAGTGTTTTGCGAGCAAACGAGAACGCAAATTCCCTTTTATTTACAAACTGAGGGGATGCAGGAATTTCTGAAATCAAGTTTGACCGGCTAAGATGCTTCCAGTGGTTCAACGACCTTGTTTGCTCTCTCATAAATGTATTTTTAAAGGAACTGAGTTCAAAAGTTGCACAGTTTAGAGCAAGAACTAGAACTGGGCAGAAAATGGCCACACTACACTCACCAAAACCAACCACCACAAATGACTTCAGAAACTCTCTGCTCACATTTGAATGACAGAATCCCAGACTGGCTTGGGCTGGAAGGGACCTTAAAATCTGGTCTTGTTCCACCCTCTGCCACGGGCAGGGACACCTGCCACTATCCCAGGTTGCTGCAATCCCCATCTAACCTGACCTGGAACACCTCCAGTGATGGGGCAGCCACAGCTTCTCTGAGCAGCCTGTGCCAGGGCCTCACCACCTCTCAGCCAACCACTTCTTCCCAATATACCATCTAACCATGCTCTCTGGCAGTGGGAAGCCTTTCCTCCTGGTCCTGGAACTACAGCTTCTGATGAAGAGTCCCTCTCTGGCTTCCTTGTACACCTGTTTTAGACACTAGAAGTTTGCTCCTGGTTTCCCCAGACCTGAGTGAGGCATTTAAGCTTCAGGACTACAGGACACTTGTGGTCTCAAAGCTGTGATGGTGAGCCCTGGTCTTCCTTGGCAGTTTGGTGGTGCCAAGCTGCAAAACCAGTGGAGGGACCAGCACTGTGCCTGTGCTCCCAGTACTCCCCCTGTTGACCTGCAGGCATGGGAAGGAGCAATCTGTTCTTCCATCCAGAGCAGAATACTGCTCTCCCAGAAATCAAGCAGGGCATGAGGATTTCAAGTGGAGCCACACTTTGACATGAGCTGCACAGGTAACTTGAGTTTCATGTTTCCCAAGTGCCCGAACTCAGGTGCTTGGCATTCTCAGGGGTTTTCCTGCAAACCTGATCAACGCTCACAAAACGCATCATAAATATCCCAGACACAAATAATTTAGGCATAAAACATTCAGATTTTCCTAGTGAAGGATCCCAAAGGTTTGATTGTCTGAGTGGTTTAGTACCAGTGGTTGTGAAAGATGCTGTAACAGCAGTAGTCATGTCAGGCATTTGATACCTTGAATCTGAAAATGCAGCTTCCCCACCCAAAACAAGGAGGAAAAAAAAGCTAAAAATGTGGAGTTTATAAATCATAACTGGAGCAGTGGATGCGGAGAACAAATAATTTCACAAAACAGATCTACATTTAAAATACATGATAAATTCCAATAAAGCTTTTTCCAAGTGCTGCTGATGGACACTAGGCCTTTCAACTGAGAGGAAAAAATCTCTAAACCACCCTGATTTATGCCGTGATTGCAATAAACACATAAATAAATAAAAAATTTTTTAAAAAAATGAAGTTGCATCATCATTGATAGCCCAGGAAACAAAAGCTTAGTAGTTGTGTGCTGGGGCTGATGAATTACCTTCCCTGCCAACAGCAGCCTGACTGACAGCTTCCAAAATGGTTTTGGGGATCAAAAATTACAGCCAGAAGGGAAGGCAAAGGCTGGGAGAGCCTTAATGAGGGGAAAAAGGCATGGAAAAGCGTGTTATTTCAATTAAATAAAATGTAAAAATGAGAAAAGCCATTGAAATGGGTGAGTTTACTCAAGGACATAGGGGAAATCGTGTGACAGTATGGCAAGGGCTAAAAAGATGATGCTCTTCAGGAATAATGCAGGCTCTGACCTAGCCGGAGTTTATGGATAAGGTCAGATTTGTAAGGTCGTGCTTAAGGATTCACAGCCCATCACCGCAACATCCAAGCACCTCTCCATAGGAACACAACGCTCCCCTGTCATTTCCTAGCAGTCCCATGGGAAAAGAGTCAGGAAAGCACTTGAGCCGGCCAGAAACCCAATTCTCCACCTAGCAGTCTATTTGCAGAGCGATTTATTACAGCCTTTGGTTATCGACTGAGCGAGACACCGCGCCGGTTTTCCTCCCGTAGCAGCAAATCTTCCTCTGCCGCTACGTGATTATTTTTTTGATCCGCCGATGGGCAGGGACCGCGCTGCAGCGCGGGATGGGAAAGCCATGATTTCTGCTGAGCTCACGCTCCCCACTCTATCACCCTCGGCTTGGTCTGGGGATAGAAAAACGTAAATGGAGGAAGAAGCCGATCGAGAAGCTGAAAGGTGGCCAAAAGCCCGGCTCAGAACTTACGGCAGGTCCTAGCGCAGGTCACGTCCGTGGGGGTTTATTTTTTTGGGATAAAGCAAAGGCCGTTTTGGCTACGTTTAGGAAAATTCCAGAAAGAAATATCGACTCTTTTAACCTGCGGAGGAGCAGTGCTCCCACAGGGGTCCGACGTGCCAGGGTGGGAAATGCCGTGAAGTCCAACACTGTGCTAAGCAAATTCAGGGACAGCTCATTCCGACGGGTGGGAATGGCTGATGGGTGCTCGGGAATGGCTCTGCGTGGCGCACCGGGCTGCCGGAGCCACGGCGCGTCCGCGGGGACCGCGACCTGCTCCCGTCACGCTGTCCATAGCCGTGGCCTCAGGGCGACCGCCTCCCTCAGGGCTGCAGCCCACGGCCCCACAGGGGAAGCCTCTGAGGTAAATCTCCTCCCCGCCAGGCTGTTTTTTCCATGTTCTGTGTGTCCAACCCACCCGCGACGGGGGTGAGCGGCACCGGGCGGTGAAACGCCGCGCACGGGCCGGAGGGGAGGGGGGAGGAACGCGGGGCTGCCCCGCACCGCGCACCCACCGGGGGCGGGGAGGATCCCACACCACCGGGAGGACTCCGCGACACCGAGCAGACCCCACGACGCCGGGGAGACTCGCCCTCCTCCGCCGAACAAAGGCTCCCGCCGGCCCCGCGATGCTCCGGCGGGGCTCGCCTCACGACCCCCGCCCCGCCGCTCCCACCTCACGCGTGCACCGGAGGCCCCCGCCCCGCTCCGCTCCCCGCCGCCACCGCTTACCTGGGTGTCGGGGCGCGGCGCATCCCGCAGCCGCCGCCGCCGCTGAGGGGAGTCCTGAGGGTCGCTGGCTGAGGGCGGTCGGTTCTGAAAAGAGGTCCCGAGGCTCTGCGCTGAGGAGGGTGGTGCTGAGGAGCGTCCCACGGGTGGGTGCTGAAGAGGGTCCCGGAGGTCAGCGCTGAGAGAGGTCCCGGGGGTCGGTGCTGAGGGAGGTCCGGGAGTCCCGAGGAGCGGTGTTGAGAGGGGTCTCGGGAAGGGGGGTGCGGACGGGCGCTCCCTCAGCCGCCGCCGCCGCCGCCGCCGCCCGGGCGCTGCCCGCCTGCCCGCGCGCGCGCGCCGCTCTCACGCGCCCGCCCGGCGGAGGCAGCGGGGAGGGAGGGCGGGCGGGAGGGGCCCAGGCCACGCCCCCTGGGCACGCCCCCTGGCGTTACGACGCGGACGCTTTACGGCAGCGCGCGGTAACCGAGCGGCGGCGGCGACGGGCGATGAGGCGGAGAGTGAGAGCCGGGGGGACACGGGGGGAAAACGGGGGGAAAACGGGGGGGACACGGGGGGGACACGGGGGGGACACGGGGGGGACACGGGGGGAAAACGGGGGAAAACGGGGGAACACGGCGGAACACGGCGGAACACGGTGCAACATGGTGCCAGTAAGGTCCCGGCAAGGACCCGGCACGGGGCGCCATACCCGGGGGTCGCGCCGGCCGCAGCCGTCGGGGTCGGTGCTGGCCTGCCTCGGGCCCGGAAGCTTCAAGCCCACGTTTTAAGGGAAAAAACGGGTAAAATGGGTAAGGGAGTGGAAGTGTGTTACGGTGCTGTGGGTGATCCCTGCTCCCACTCCAGGCAGGCCCTGACCCTGCACCTGGCCCGGGTGCACCCTCTCCTGGCCTGGGTGCACTCTCTCCTGGCCTGGGTGCACTCTCTCCTGGCCCGTAATTCCCGTTTATTCCCACAAAAGCAGCGATGGGATGAGCGGGATCTTCCTGGGGCTGCTGGCGTGCTCTGATCCCGGCACCGCAGCGCCGGGAGACGCTCGGGGTCAGGCTCGGGGTCGGCACGTTGCTCCTCCTCCGTGGGGCGTGGGACATCTCGAATCGCTTCCCCTGACCGAATTCCCATTCCTGACCAAATTCCTGTGACCTCCAAGTCTTTCAGGCAAGTTACATTCACCCCCTGTGCGTCCTGCTGCTCGCTGGATTAGACCCTTTCTGTGGGAGGTGAGAGGTGAGTGCATCGGTGGTCGGGTTAAGGATCTGAGCTGGGATCCCCTCGGTACCAATCCCACCAGCGCCTCTGGGACATTCCCGGAGCCATCCCTCATCCCAAAGCGTTCTGGTCGCTGAGGGTTTTTTCCTGTTAAACTCCAGGTTTTGGTCAACCCCATCCCGGAGAGAAGAAACCATTGTGTGTTGTTTCTGTGGTTCTTGGTTTCATGCTGTGACACCAAGAGAGGTTCTGAGTTTGGTTGCAGAGTCTCTGGTTTGGGGAATTTGTCCAGAACAAAGAAGTTTGGGCATAGTGAGTACGGAGCATGGAGTATTTTCCTCTGATTTCAGCACTCATGGCCTGTTGAACCTTCAGAAGTGGGATGTTCTTGTATCATACAAGAATTATAACCTACAGCTGCAGATAGATTATTTATATTTAACAAAAAAGGAGAAAGCTACGCTTCCGTTCTGGTTGAATTGTTTAATTCTCTGTGAGTTTTTCCTCTGGCTCTGTCAGGAAACACATAAGTCCAGAGATTCAGGTGTCACCAAGCCTGGCTCCTGCTGGTAAATAGAAATTGATGTTTCTTGTCTGATCTTGCTCCATTAACAACTATCCAGACATGGTATCTAAACCCCATATTTCCAGGAAAAGTGAATAGAAAGTTAAACCAAAAGGTCTTTTACTCTTGATCCTTAAAAGACTAAACCTTCTCTGTCCTTCCTCGTGTTCCCTGATAAAGTCTGGATTTTTTGTCTTCCAGGTGACTGTTTTCCTATTTACCTCCACGTTCTTTAAATTAGGAACAGGACTCTAGTGATGTGTCACCTTAAACTATTCACTCTGGAAGTTCTTAGCACCTTTAATTTATTAAAATAGACTTTAGGAATCTGATTCATCCTTAGTTCACACTCCCATTGCTCTGTCACTGCCTTTTTACGCTCAGTTACTGAGGAGTCTCATTCCTTGGCTCTCAAGTGCCTTCAATAATTACCTGCAGAGGGTTGTTGTCTTTAATGGTGTGAAAATGACAGGTTTGGGGTGTTTTTTGGTCAAGTGTTGGAAAACACAAGGCTTTGCATTGTGTCCGGACACAAAGGAGCTTCATCCATTTATGGATTGAACTCGCACTAATGTCAGCAGCTAATTTGTTACATCATTGTAACTTCAGTGAGGGAAGCTTGACCTCTTGCCCTATTGATGCAACACAGCACCGTTTTCAAATCTGTAAATGAAATGATGGTTTTTGTATGGAAATGCTCCTTTCTCTTTCCCCAGTTTCCTTGTCTCAGCACTGGAAATGGGGCAGCTGAAATCCCTTTAAGGAGCTGAGGATTCCAGGGAGTTTGCACAAATTCCAACTACTAATATGCAAATAAAATGAACCAGCAGGACACTTGTTGGCAACCTCCAGCAAATGTTCCAGGCCTGTGCCAGTATTTATTCCTATTTTTATGGAAACTGAACAGAGAGTGCCTAAGCCTTCAGGAAGAGAGTCCTGGCTGTGGCTGAGCAGAGCTGCTCCCAGTCCACATCGGGATTTCAACACTCCTCAGAGGTTCAGATCCACATCCTGTCTCCTGCAGATCCATCTTTAGCTTTTGGGAGGTTCTCCCAAACAAAGCCACCTCACCAGTGGCTTTTCACAGCCCCACCACTTTGTTTTGGTCCTTGCTGCTTACCTGACCTGGCTCTGAGGGAGCCTCCCAAGGGTTTTCCTTGGAGCTGCATGTGGTGAGTCATCCCACAGAATTCACAGGCAGTTTCACAAATACCAGATGGCAATAAAATTAAAAGTAGTAGCTAGTGGCAATTAAGCACTTGCACTCTCCTTCCTGACTGGAGGAACCTGCCAAATGTCATGACAGGAAAAAAAAAAAAGACAACTATGTTTCTGTAGAGTGGAAAATTAACAGAGCACGGGACACACGCTTCCCTCGCCCTTAATCCCATTTGGACTGGAGTGGAAAGCTATTGGCTGGACTTCTACATGTCCAGGAGAAGATGAAACAGAAAGAACACAATGTAAAGGAAAAACTGGGGCATTTCATGGGGAAATCAAAGATGTATTTCAGCAGTGCCCATGTTAAACCCCCAAATAGGATGTTTGGAGGATGTCCAGATCTTTAAACCAGGCTATATTCGGGCAGGCTAAGGAGTTACTGGGATTCCATTGGGATTTCTTGTTGTTATACTACAAGGGTTTGCACCACGAGCTTGGAAATAGTTGGAGCTCATTAAAGTCGGAAGCATGTCCAAATACCATTGTGTTTGGCTCAGCATAAACAAGGGCTGTTCCCTTCCTCTGGTGACTCCTGCTGCTCGGCATCTCCGGGATCCACCAGCCACACACAAACGCTCACTGGCTGTTTCATGCCCAAACACTCACCTCGGCCCTTCCTTCCCATGTATTACACATGGACCATGGCTCATCCATTCTGTTCCTTGCCTGTCACGTGCCAGGGGACCTTGCCAACATTTTTGAGAGATAAATCCCTTAATTTATGCATCCCAGGCAGGAAGGGTTATTCCTCATGATTCATATCACAACAAGAAGTGTGAACCCACTTCTTCCTAACAGAACACTCCATTTGCTTCATTCTTCTTTATCATGACGGAAAATTGGTGACTTATTTATAGTGAATCATATTAAAGTGATCTTACCGTTCCGAGCTTTCACACGAGGCTTTCAGAAATCTGAAGATGTTTCCTTGCTGCCTTTAGGACAGAGGAGGGAAGGATGAGGCCAAAACCAGTTCCATGTCATCTGTGTCCCAAGTTGTGGCATTTCCAGCCCTGTCCTGGCCAGGAAAGGATCTAGAGGCTGAGGATGCATCACAGCACTGAGAAGCCTGGAAGGGCTGCGGGGTGTCAGAGCTAAAGGAAAACAAGGGTAGATACAGGGCTCTAAATCAAATTTCCCTATGGAAAATCTTCTAAATCCTACTCTGGCTATGTAGAGAGTTGTCATACAGATTCCCACGGTCGGGAACTGGTTTGTTTGTGATCTCGTCTTGCTTTGTTACTCCTTACTCACGGCTGTGCCTCCTGTGCTGGCAGCCCAGCAGGTTCTCCTGGAACAGGTCATGCCTCTGGCACAGATCTGGGGCACCCTGTGCTTGGAGAAAGGGACCATATGTCTGTCAGACAGCCCAAAAAGGTTTTTCTTTAAGGGAATACCAGTGATGCAAAGAACTCTAGTGCTTGTCAGTGCACAGGTAAAACACTGAGACATGCAAACACCACCTGACTTCTGGATCACTCCTGGTTTCTGTGCAGGAACTGCTCTGAAACTTGTTTGTTGTGAAGTTCAGATCCTCAGGATGGAAGGCTGATCTCATTGGAGCCACAGTAGGTTGCTGCTCAACCCAACACTGTGTTCTCCATCTGCTCATGGTCCTGCAAATACCCATCTGGGAATCCTGGGCTCTTGCTTACTGCTGCTGAGAAGGAACTTGAGGTGTTTGTTGGGCTGCATCCAGGTGTGGGCCATATCCCGGGTGTGATCCAATTCCCAACCCTTGTTCCCTCTGTCTTGCAGCTCTGGCGGTTCCCTGGAGCAGCGCAGGATGGATCCCGTGGTTCTCAGCTACGTGGACAGCCTGCTGAGGCAGTCAGACGTGGCCCTGCTGGAGCCCCCAAACTGGCTCAACGACTGCATCATCGGCTTCGCCTTCGAGTACTTCGCCAACCAGCAGTTCCAGGAGTTCAGCCACCGAGTTTGTTTCATCAGCCCCGAGGTGGCTCAGTTCATCAAGTGTGCCCTTAGTCAGGAAGAAATAGCCATATTCCTCCAGCCGCTGGACCTTCTCCGCAAGGAGCTGCTGTTCCTGCCTATCAATGACAACTCCAGCCAGGCTGCTGGGGGCACCCACTGGAGCTTGCTGGTTTATTTCAGGGACAAGAAGTGCTTCGCCCATTACGATTCCCACAGTAAATGCAACTCTGTCCATGCCAAGCAAGTGGCAGGGAAACTGGAGGCCTTTCTGGGAAAAAAAGGGGGCAAAGCCACCTTTGTGGAGGAGAAGGCGCCGGCACAGCAAAACAGCTACGACTGTGGAATGTATGTGATCTGCAATGCTGAGGCTCTGTGCCACGGGTACTTCCAGGGCCGGATGGAGCCTCTGCTGCAGCTCCTCACCCCCTCCTACATCACACAGAAAAGGTCAGAGTGGAAAGCTCTCATCACGAAACTGGCACAGAAGTGATGTGGATGCACCTCTAGCCCCCCAAAAACTGCCTTCCCAGTCCAAGAGGCAGCACCCCCAGTGCCTGAGGGAGATGCCCATGCACAGGATTGTCCCAAAGAAAAAGAATGTAACCCCTCTAGCATGGCTACACCCCCCAAACACCCCATTCCCTCCAGGAAAAGCCTTATTCTCCTCTCGAAATCACCGGCCTTTCAACTTCTAATAACAAGAGTCACTTTGCTTTCAAAGAAACCCTCTCCATGATAAATTTTTACAGTAATCGCTGTGGCAAAACAGGTTGCTAAAGAGACTTCTCCACCTGTGCCCAGCACACCCTCATTAAGTGGCTTTAGCTGGCTCCAGGCATTGTCCTTGCAAGCCAGGTTTAGCAAATGCTCTTTAAACCTGAGCCCCGGGTGCTTTATTGTGGATAGTTCTAGTTTGTGCCTCCTGCTAATGGTATTGCAGCAATGTGGGATTTAGTAGCCAGGATTTTGTACCCTTGAAAACCTGACATTGAGATATCACTGCAAAAAGATGAGACTGCAAAGGAAATGCTACAATTAATTTAAGAACAGGGCAAAATCAAAGTCAGTTTTCATAAGCCAGGTGCTCCTCGGCCACACAGCGATGACTCTTTTTGGTCTCCCACCCCTGCTTGTTCTTACTGCAAATTAAAACCCGACTCTGAACTGATGAAGATTAATGGGAAGCTGAGAAAGCCAATCCTAGGAAAAGAAACTTAATTGAGATGAAAAGCAACACTCAGTCTTTGAAGTTTGGGGCTTTTCATTAGGATTTTAGGTCGTCTCTGTGCGGGTAGGGTTTGTCAGTGCTCCCCAGCCCTTGTTAGCGGTCGCTGCTCATAACACAAAACCAGTTCTGTTACTTGAGAGATAAAAAAAACAACACACCAGGGAGAACAAAAGGACAGAGTTTGAGGTATAAAAGCCAAAGATAACTGCAGGCTTCTTGAAGTACTTAATGCACTTCAGAAAACTGAAACACTTCTCTTCCTGTGCTGGATGATGGCTGGGATCCCAGAGTGGATCCTCTCCTTAAAGACAGGCTTAGCAGTATGGAAAATAAAAATTAAACTGAGATGTTGTTGCAGGATAAGGAATAATCTCTCACCTGGTGAGAAGCAAAGAGCAGGTTGTTCAGGTGGTGTCTAGCAGAGCAACCACACCCCTACCTGAGAAGGGAAATCCGGGTTAAATACAACCCTTGAGGAAGGATTGTTGTTAACCTGGAGCTCTTCACCACCAGTGTGTGCAGCAGCACAGTACTGAGGGGATGGAGGGTTTCACCTTCCCTTGCTTCAAGTGAATGTCAAGGAATCAGCCCAGGCTGCCCCAAAACACCCTCATGGCAGCACTGGGGCCTGACAAGGGTTGGGCCATTCCCCTCCCTGCTAACACTGCCTGGATAGGAGAGCAGCCTCCAGCACCAGCCCTCCTTGGAAAACCCACTCCGCTGGAGCCAGAATGGGATCCAGCTGCTTGCTGAAGGGGATTCCCTTTGGACTCAGAGGGGCTTTGCCAGAGCAACATCACTGCCACTCCCAAATCCCAAATAAAACTCAGACCAAATTGTGTGTTTCCTGGTGTCATCCAGTCCTTGGTGTCCCTGCTAATGCTGTGGTGCAGAGTGTAGCAGCATGGTGGCTCTGACTCATCCGTCTGACAGCGCTGCCTTGGCTGATTTAATCTCCCAATCCTATTTTTAGAGGTTGGCTTGGGCTGGGGAGGGAGGAAGACAGAAGATGGGCGGTGGGTGTGACATGGGCAACAGCTGGGGGATTTGAGCAGGGGTTGTGCCCATCCAGCACCACCCTGTGCTTCTCATCGCTGTTTCCAGGCCAGCAAGGTGAGTGTCCAGGGACATTCCCTGCACCCAAGGCTTTTACGTGGCATTTCTTTACACAAAGAAAAGCAAGTAGTCTCAAGCAGGGCGTCACTGGGAGAGCCAACATGCACAAACCAGGCAGACAGACACCAGATGAGAAACAAAACCAGAGCCTTGCAACCACATCCTGGCAGCAGGGACCCCCCCAAAAGCACACTGTGGGTTCATCCCAGTGCTCCTCCAAACCTCCTACATGTCACTGCCCCCATGGCTCATCCCACCACTGGCTTTAACCAAGGAGTCTCGAGAGGAGACCACATTCCTGATTCGGGCTCAGCACAGGGACCCCAAGCACCTGCTGCTGGAGGACACAGTGAACACCAGGCTGGACACATCAGACCTAACACCCCCCAGTCCTCAACCTCTAAACTCTTTTTGGGGCCAAGAGCCCCACTTTGAGGTTGGACTCACTAAACACCAACTTGTTAGTTGGAAAAACAACCCTAAACCCATTTGCACGGTGTAAACGAGCTGGGTGAGTCCCTGGCAGGGACAGGATGGCGCCTTTCATCCTCCAGGTCACCCATGGAATCAAAGGCTCTGACAGCCCCATAATGCCAGGGCTTTGAATAAACCAGACCATCCCCCTCAGGCACCCCCGGGTGCTAAATCCTGCCCAAAACAGGTGACACCACTCCTGTACCACTCCTGTTCCCACTTAACCAGTGCCTGGTTTTCAAGTTGGGCCATTTTCATGCATTTTGCTGCACTGGCCGTGCCAGGGAAGGGAGTGGAATTGGGTTGTGGATGTGCAGGGAGGAGGAGGAGAAAGAGGAAGGCTCACCCTGCCCACCCGAGCTGGGTGGGGCTGCAACTCAGCTCCCTCCCCCGGCACCGCTGTCCCCAGGGTGGCCCTGCCACCAGTGCGTCACATCCCGCAGTCTCTGCTGCCATCTAGTGCAGTAACCTCCCTGGCCCCTCTGTCAGGAGCATCCCTGTCCCCTTGTCCCCATGACAGGATGGGCTGTCCCCATGTCACTCACACCTGAAGGGACACTGGGACAGCACAGATTTTGGGGTGCCCGGTTTTGAGGCTCACAGCATAGCACCGCTGTGGAGGACGCTGGTAAGAGAGAGTGATGTGCTAGAAAATCCTGGATTTATTGTAATTCCATTTAAAAGCCATTCCAAGCCCAGAGCGAGCAGTGAGCTCTTCCCCAGGGCACCGGGATTTGGCCCAGTCAGCACTTGTAGTTCCCAAAAAAAAACAGGAAAGAAAGGAATCACACTGGTACCACCTGCCACCCCAGTGTGCTCCCAGGGGGGCTGTGGGACAAATCCTGTGAGACAAATCCTGCAGCACTCAGCTCCATGCAGTGACAAGGTTAACACGAACCAGGGCACAGACACTGCACTCTGGGACATTCCCCAGAGCCAGCCACGAGCTCCTTTCCAGCATCTTCATGGGGCAAGCAGGACTAACAAACTTCACCTGTGCCAGGTGTGAACCCCAGTGAGGACACCTGGTCTGGGAGACCTTAAAGTGCTTTGCAAGGGATGCACACACACACACACCCCTCTCTGAGCCCAGTGCTCCAGGAGAGAAGGGCTGGGGAGCCCTGGCTTGTACCCCCACCCTTGTGTGTGGGATAAATGACACCCCACAGGGCTAGCGGGGGCCCTTTCTCTCCATCCCCACAGATCCCTGTGTTCAGGGCCATTCGTCCAGGAACATTCCCAGGGATACTGAGGGACAAACAGGTGGGTTCTCCCAGATCAGCAGTGGCAACTCATCCACATTTCTGGGGGTTCCTGGTGAGCCCAAGGTCATCTTTTAACAAGAAAAAAGCAAGCCTGAAGTAAAAACCAACATCCATCTTAGCAGCAAGTCCTAAGGGAAGGTCCAAGTGCTCGGCAGCCCCGAGCCATTGTCCGGTGCTACAGCACAGCAGTGTCCCAGGGAGAAAACAGGTTTCCAGTGGGACGGGGAGTTGGCACTGGTGGCCAGAACCTGGCTGCAAAGTCCCACCAGGAACAAGTGCCCAAAGGAAGAGAGAAAATACTTGGTCCCATTTTACCAGCCGAGGGAAAGCTGGACCACATGTAACAGCCACGGTTGGGAGGACACAGCACCGGGATCCATGGGCAGGGTGCCACCACCTCAGTGTTCATCCTCAGCCAGCACCTGGGGAACGGTCACCTGCAAGCAGGGAGTGGGGTAAGATGGGATGAGTAACTGCAGAGACTCCATATCTCGTCCCAGTGCCTTCTGATGTCTTCAGCCCAAGGAGATTCCCTCCTGTCAATCCCATGCTGATGCCCATGGCCTTAGCCCCCAGGCACAGCCCAGCTCCAATGAGATGTCCTGGTACTTCCTACAACTGGAGAACCAATCCCAAACCAATGAGGAAATCTCTTCCCAAGCTCCAGAGTCTCATGGACAGCTGAGCTTCCCAGTCACTCAAACTGATGATGATGGGATCACCTCTGGTCTGGAGATGGCACTGTGGGTTCTGTCACTGGCCAGCCCAACAGCAGACAAGGATAAGGGACAAAGCATTCCTTAGACACATCACAGAGTGGAGCCATTGCTCTTTACACCCACATTCCCTCAAGTCCTCCACTCATGGCACAACCTGTGTGTCCCAAAATGTCCTTGAGGGTCCCTCACCTCCTGTGCCCACGGGAGAGGTAATCCCGGTTCAGGGAGCAGAGCTGCTGCTCCAGACGGAAGATGCGGAATGCCAGGTATGAGGAGGACACGACCAGGAGACAGATGCTGGGAACAGAGGAAGAAGCCAAACAGCCAGTTGAGACTGAGACCGACATTCCCAGTGCTCCCCCAGCTTCCCTGTGCCCTCTGCACACTTACAGCACGATGAAGATCTTCAGGAGCTGGTAGTCAGAGGGTCTCAGCTCTGCCACACAGCTCTGCTCCACCTCCAGCTCTTCCTCAGTATTTATTGCACTTTCTGTAAGCAAACCCAGAGTCAGCGGCACAGCCACACTTGGCTGATGCTCCTGCTCCTCCAGCAACCAGGAAACATCAAATATTCCTCCCTCATGGGCTCAGATCCTGCAGCCAGGAGACCCCAGCCCATCCCCAGGACTCCATCATTGACTCCCAGCCTAATCTGTAGTAAGGCAGAATTCCCCCGCACGAGAGCAGTGGATGGATGAATATTTTTATGGAGGTTATCACCCATGTGCAGCAGGGCACAAAGCAATGCCCCTCACCTGAAACCAGTGGCTCCTCAGAGGTGAAGGAGCTCTCCTTGGTGCTCAGGCTGCTGACAGAGGTCCGGTGGATACACTGGTAGTTGGCATCTGGCAGTGACAGTGACAGTGAGGTAGGTGACACCTTCCTCCACTTGCCCTCAGGGACGATCACCTCCTGTGGGAACAGTTCTGGTGAGCCACAAATGAAACCAGCACTGCCACAGATATGGTGGCACCAGATTCAAACTCAAACTTTACAGTATCTCCAAGGAGCACCAACACATTCAAAACATCATCCTGAGGGAGAGCTGGTCTTCCATTATGGTTCCATGGGAATGCAGGATCCTACTACCAAAGAAGGAGATGCCCATGCACCCCACACCTGCCCCAAATACCAGCTGCTGCCTCCTCCACCCCTTGAAGCTCAGGGCAGTCACCTGGAATTCCCCAGCATGCCCCAAATAGGGCAAAAAAGTGCACAAAGACAACAAATCAAGTGGGGTGGCAGCTGGCACAGAGGGGGGCTCCCCCAATGGAGAGTTCCCAGGGCTGGAGCTGCCAAAGGGCTGCATCCCACCGAAGCACCAGGAGGTGCTGCCAGATCAGCCTGGGTCACTCCTGATTCAGCCCTTGAAATTAATCTTGAACCCCTGGGATGTCACCAGACCATGGGTGACATCCCACCTGTCACCCTCTGGCGCAGCCCAACTGTCATCTCGTGCACCCAGCCCGAGGCTCAGGACCAGCAGCCATGGAAGACACTCTTCTCCAAAGGTGCAGGATATGGCCCCCATGCTCCCTGGATCAATCTGGGGTTCAGCAGGTGTTTCCCGCTCCCACTATCCTCCTCATCCTGCAGAGTTTTGGGTAACTCAACCACATTCCCAGCTGTGAACAGCATCAGGGAGCAGAGTGGCAGCATTTTCCACATCACTCTGAAGTTTTTCTGTCTATACACAGACAGAGTCACTGGCTGTGCTCAGCCAGTCCTCTTGACCCATCTGGGGATGAGGGTCCCAGAGGACAAGCTATGATGGCAACAGGTGCATCCTTGCACCCTTTGATGGCACCAACAGAAGAACCAGCTCTCTCCCGACTCTTCTAGCGAACACCAGACAGAGTCAAACCCACCAAGGGGATGAGGCAGGCCCTCTCCACCCACAGCATGAGGTCAGGGGGTCTCTCTTCTCCCAGAGCTGCCCTGACCCTCACCAGTGACACAGAGTCCGGCTCCTCCGACAGCTCCTTTAGACTCAAGCTCTTCTTACTGGAAACCTGGATGGGGGGAAAAGGATTGGGCATTACAGTGCCAGCTCTCCCTGCTTCAGCCTCAGCCACAAAATGGAATTTGGGCTTTTCTGCTGAGACTATGAAGAGCAGCTGCTAGAACTTACAACCACGGGGATTTGGGACATGAGGAAAGGGCATTGCACCATTGCTTTGCAGCACAAAAACCTAGTGGGGCCATGGTTGAGCCAACAGTTTCCACGGACAGGGTAAAACATCAGGGGTAAAAAAATGAAGG